TAAATTGATTTCTACTAGTTTTAAAATCAGTGATTAAATAAGAATTTTAAAATTAAGCAAATTATTAATTAAAACTTAAATATTTATCTCATTTAATTTTTAAATATATTGGCCCGCGTATTAACGTGGGTTCTAATCTAGTGTATATATATAACTTTTCAAAGATGAATATTCTATAGAAGTAATGTAGCATATAAAGGAATATTCAAATCGATTAAACAGAAAATAAAAAAGGAGTTCTATTATGCGTACTTTGTCTATGACAAAATAAGTTTAACAACGAAAAAGCCACGACCAATGGAATACACTAGTTAAGAGAATTGATTTAATAGTAAGTCCATCTGGGAATATATGCAATTTGTGACACATCTTGTATTTGATTTTGATTCTTTCTTATCGAATCCCCTCGGTGTCAACACGCTAAAATCTTCCCTTTTCTCTAAAGATTTTTTCTTACTTTCTTGTTTCTTTTGATTGTTGTGTAAGCTTAATATGGATGAAACTCCAAAATGTTGCAAGACCAGAACTTCAAATAGAATCTACCATATTTTGTTCTTGCTTACATTCAACCAAAACGACAGTGAAAAATTAATTAGATTATTATTAAAAACAATAATGACGAAAACAAATTATTTCCCTTTTTGCCAACTTATTTCAGCACCATCGTTTTTCTGGATCCGACATTGAGTTTTTATTTTTTGACATCGGATCCTTCATTGATATCTCAGTCACTAATTAAATTATGCATCACAGACTATCATATAAACTATCAAGAATCAAATCCGTTGTACGCGGGTCATATTCATGGGTTAAGGATTCCACTTTGTTTGTCAAAATTGTCAATTTAGTATATTAAATGTAAGATTGCTTCTCTTCCATGAAACATAGGGAATTGTTGACGAAGAAAACATCAAATAGAAAAGGGTAAAGAACAAATGAGCGAGGAAGCAATCACAGCGTCATCTCGCCGCAACCCAACTTGCTTTAGTTACAACATTCCCTCCTAAAAGTATCCTTCACCGTTACATTACTATGATCTAATACTCTCTCTGCCTTTGGTACACGTAATGTAAAGAATTCCGTTACGATACAAAGTGTAGTTGTCGAATTCTTACAGCCAAATATTAAATACTCTAACCCAAAGTATTCTTTCGATCGATAACAAAGAGTATATGATTAAGTGGGTTACCCTGTGTGGCTAGATGGTTTGTAC